CATATGAATGTGGATGCAAAAAATCCTTAATAAGATACTTAAAAACAAAATGCAGCAAATCATAAAGAAGATTATACATCATAACCAAGTAGGATTCATTCTATGGGTGCACGATGATTCAACACATGCAGATTAATAAATGTAATGCACCATATTAACATAGTCAAAGGTAAAAAATGCATGACCATCTCAATACATGCAGAAAAACATTTGACAAAGTTCAACACCCATTCATGATAAAAACCCTACAGTAAAAATTGCAATAGATGGTCTTTACCTCAATCTTATAAGACCATCTATGACAAACCAACAGCTAACATCATATCAAATTATCAAATATAGAAAGCTTTCATTTAAAAGCAGGAACAAGACAAGGATGTTCATTATCACCACTTCTATTCAATATAGTTTGAAAACATTAGCCAGAGCACTTAAACAAGAGAAAATTACAAGAAGAATAAAGATAAGAAAGAAGTTAAACTATCATTATTTGAAGATTACATGATACTCTACATAGAAGATCACCCAAATTCCACCAAAAATTTGTAGATTTAATAGCCAAACTAAGTAGTGTACCAGAAAAAAAGTCAACACTCAAAAACTAATGGGATTCCTATACACAAGAAACAAATTGACAGAGAACTAAATTAGGGAAAGGCACCATTCACAATGGCATAAAAAATGAAATACTTAGGAATCAATCTAACAAGAATGTAAAAGACCTGTACAGTGAAAATTACAGTCCCTTAAAAAAAGATCAAAGATAATATTTTTTAAAAATGGAAAGATATCCCTTGCTCTTGGATAGTAAGAACCAGCATAGAGAAAATAGTCATACTCCTAAAACTGCTACATAGATTTAATGCAATCCCAATCAAAATACTATTAGCACATGCATTACAGATCTAGAGAAAGCACTCCTAAGCTTCATTTGTAAGGAGAAGAGACCTAGAACAGCAAAAGCAATTTTAGTCAACAAAAGCAAGTCAGGAGACATCACAATCCCAGACCTGAAATTATACTACAAAGCTACTGTGATAAAATCAGTATAGTACTGGCAAAATAACAGACCCAAGGATCAATGGAATAACATAGAAGATGTAGGTGCAACCTCAAACACACTCAGCCACCTTATCTTTGACAAAGGAGCCAAACAGTTTCACTGGATTAAAGATAATTTAATAAATGGTTCTGGAAGCACTGACTTTCTTCATGCCAAAGATTAAAATTATAACCATGTCTATCACCATACACTAAGCTAAAGACAAAATGGGTAAAAAAGTTAAAATAGAAATACTGAATTTACTGAAAGAGAAAATAGGTAGAAAACTTGAAGACATAAATATAGGCAGAGACTCCATGAACAAAACCCAGACTGCAAGAGAAATACTACAACGAATCAACAAATGGGGATCTCACCTTATTAAAAAACCTTTGCACAATAAAAAAAATTACCAATAGGGTCAAAAGACCATCTTCATAGATAGTTAAGACAGTTAACATAGCTAGTTTCTCTTAGTTCCTTGAAAAGAAAGGCTTCTGCTAATGTTGTTTGGACAAGCTATCATTCCTATATCTTGTGCTCGCAATAGCTGCTAAGAGGACAGCACTATTCAATGTATTAATTATTGTAACTCTCCTACTCACCGGTTTTGAAACTCTGTTTTATTTTTATTTTTTCTCTTAAAAAAAGAATCTAGAGAAGAAGGTCTTGGAAAGGAAATCTCATAAGACATACTGCAAATAAATCTCAAAAGATTTATTTTGAGAATCCTTACTTTGGGAATTCCTGCTAGAATCCTTAGTCCTCCAAACCTTGTATATTTGTGTTGAGACAAGATAAACTGAAAATTAAACAGACATAGCTATTTAAATTTTGATGACAGGAAAAATGACTCAATTTTCTCTTTTTTTCATTGATTTGATTTTGTTCAACTCATATATTATTTCAGCATTTTACGGGGAGAAGTACTATAGCTTTTTGCATTTGCTGTGGTGACTTACAATTCCCCCCTCCCCGAGGCAATTGGTTATTGGCAGTACTCAGCAGGATTCAATGTCATATAAATACACTTAAATCTCCAAATGGATTTTTAAAAACTTTATAATATGTGAAATAATGCTATTTTTGTTCAATTTTTCTTCTTTTCCTCTTGAATTTAAAATTAAAATCTGAGCTGGGTGTGTAGCTCCACCCCTTTAATCCCAGCGTTCAGAGAGGCTGAGACAAAAAGATAACAATTTTGATCCTCATTTGGGCAATTTAACAAGTTAGTGAGATTTTATATCTAAGTAAGAAAATAAATAAATAAATGAATGGCTAGGGATATAGATCATTTCAAATGTCCTTGGTTCAATCCCAAGCAGCACACCTACACCTACTCCCCACCCCAACAAACCTGTTTGTAAAATAGAGGATCATTTGTGTTGTAAGTCAAGAAGACTGTGTGTGATATAGACAGAACAATTAGTGGTTTTGAATTTGTTGAGATTCTAGTGCTGCTTTAGAATTATAATTCTTTTGCAGCCTAAAACTTGATTTTTATGCAATATCAAAGATGCTACTTATTTACTCCAATGATTTTGAACATCAGTTGACAATGTATTTTAAAATTTTATACTAGGAAAATTTAGGCCACAAAATTTAAAATAAAAAAACTTTAAATATGAAATTTATGATTTAAACATGAGAATTTGTCTGCATCTTGACCTGTGTGTTTCTTATGATGTTCCTAAATTCCTAGTAGTCCTTGAATTATTGAATTTAGGATCTTTCTCTATTATTGGTCTCCATTTCTGAAAATCACATGTGGAATTTAGAAATGTAGACATTATCAATCTTCTTTGTAGACCTTCTGAAGAATAATATACAGAAATGGAGCTGTTTTTTGAGAAGGATTTCACTGCATCATATTTCATGCTGGCCTTGAATGTGCAGAGTTCCTCCTGCCTCAGTCTCCCACATGCTGGAATTACAGGCACGCATCACCATGCATGGACAGAAACAGAGTTTTAAAACTAATTATTTTTTAAAGTTTCCTGGTGATTATAACTATTTTGCATGCTTGGAAGCCCTTGCTCATTGCAATTATTAGGTTCCTTTTCTACACATTGTGCTTAATGAAGATTATACTACGTTTCCTTCTCCGGATTGGAAGTTTATTTTATTTTATTTTATTATTTTATTTTTTGACAGAACTGGGGATTGAACTCAGGCCCTTGCGCTTGCCAGGGAAGCACTTATTCTACTAAGCCACCTCCCTGGCCCCGAAAGCTTCTTATTGATAATACTTAAAATACAATGCTGAGTTGTATTTTTAAATGTTCTAAAATAACTTTCACAGGTTGAGAATTTAAAATCCTTTATGAATAACTGACTGTAGATTGTGTTTTGAATAACAGGAGTATGAGTGTCTTTATTAAAAAGATGCAGATATGCTTGTGATATGTTTGAAATGTTTCCTCTTCCATTTATCATTGTTAATAGGCAATATTTATTTGCCCTGGTGGCTGTTGTTCAGTCCCATGCATGGGCCCTCACAACCAGCACACAATCTAAGGAGTTTTTAAAAAAAATTCATAAATTCAGGTGTTATCCACCTACATCCCTGTCTAAATTCAGTGATGACTCCATCTTGAATTGAAGGAGTGATGATATTTTCGTATGATAAAAGACTGTAATATCGTCACGTGAAAGTTATAAAAACAAGCAAGAAGCCAATTGTCTTAGCTGCCTTTCTCCTTTCTGAAACACAAGAGCAACCACCTGCATCTTAGGAGAGGCTTAGTGTGGCTCGATTCAGAAGTGTCAGTCCACAAGTAGCACGCTAAAAATGGAAACTGCCTGGCAGAAAGGCCTGGTTGGAGGGAAGTGGCTCACCTCACGACAGCAAGGTGAAGACAGCGTGGAGGGAGGAGGCGAGGAGAGAGATGCACTGGCCAGGTCACATCCCCAGGACCACTGCTCATGCCCAGGCCCCACAGCGTGTGAGCGGTCAGTACATCAGCGGCCCAATCCGCTGATGGGTATAGCACTCCCGTGGTCCATTCACCTTTCCAACATATGGGATTTTGTGGGACCTACACAGCTTGAAATCATAGTACTTTGTAGTTTAGTGTGCTTTCTTTCTTTCTTTCTTTCTTTCTTTCTTTCTTTCTTTCTTTCTTTCTTTCTTTCTTTCTTTCTTTCTTCCTTCCTTCCTTCCTTCCTTCCTTCCTTCCTTCCTTCCTTCCTTCCTTTCTTTCTTTGTTTCTGGTGGTACTGGGGATGAGACTCAGGACCTTGCTCTTGCCAGGCAAGCACTTATTCCACTGAGCTGTCTCCCGGGCCCTAGGGTGACTTTGAGATTTAATTTTTATGTGCCATCACCATCACTGCTAGTATCTCTACTACCTGCCATTGTTTACTATATGCTCAGCGCTATGCAAAGTGTTTCAGGTACTCGATCTTACCTATCTATGGCTTTGGTGGCAACTCCAGTACTAGAAAGGAGAGAAATGAGCATCAGCATTTCAGTAATTTGTCTAAGCTGATGCAGCTGTAAGGTGGAGGAGACGGATTTAACTTGTTGTTCTTTGTCTTGTCTGCTCTTCTCCTATGGTAAATACTCCAAAATCAAAGAACAGTGTTCTCTGTTCTCTGCCAGGCTTTGTGCCTGTCCTTGAGGAAACAAAGATAAATACCTCATGGCTGCTACCCATGAGGAGCTTAAGTCGTGGAAAAGACTATTTCATGCAGCTTTCCTCTGATTGTTATTCCAGATTCTCAACTTGATTGGCTTGAGAGATGCCTAGGAAATTAGTAAAGCACACTTCTGAATGTTGCATGCTGTTTGGGTGGGTTCTAGAGGTGCGACATTAGGGATCATATCTGGTCCCTGGTCCTTCCCTTTCTGGCCTCTTCATCTTTCTGCTTCACAGAGAGCATGAGTCAAGCAGTTTTCCTACTGTGATCTTGGGCTGGGGATATGGCTCAGGGGCACAAGTGCCTGCCTGGCAAGTACAAGGACATGAATTTAGTTCCTGGTACCAAGAAAAGAAAAGAAATTCTGCTAGGACCTTCTGCCATCATGTTCCTGCCTTGGACCCACCTAACCATGGGCTGAAATCTCTGAAATCCTGAGCCAAAATAAACATCTCCTTCTTTAAGTTGCAGATGTCAGGTATTTTGTCCAAGCAACAGGAAGCTGGCCAATACCAATCTTAAAGTTATTTCTTTGTCTAATAAGTTTATCCCTTAATGAAGGTCACCAGAACAAAATTTGAATGTCACTGAAGTATGACACAGAAAGGATTATAAATTGCAAAGAATAAGTTATATAAGAACATCCCTTAGGAAATCATGAATGTCTAATACATACAATTTCATTTAATACTCTGAAAAATCTGATAGTATGCATTGTAAAAATAAGGTTTAGTGATTAGCTAGTTGTCTGACCAGTTTTGCATGTGGAACAACGGCTCTGAAGATGACAGTGTGCAATATAAGAAGCATTGTTAATTTCCTATCATCTTGTTTTGAAATTCTGTATCATTTTTTTATTTTACTTCTTATTTTCTTTACAAAAAAAAAGAGATGTAGCAAGGGTAAACGGGAGGCTCAGAGGTGAAGCAGTAGCCTAAATATCTAACTTTTAAGTAGAAATACCAGGATTTTAGGCCGATCTGGGGCATCAAAGGCTTTTGCTTTTCTATTGATTCATGCTGACACCCACATGTGCTAGTGCCTAATTTTTAGTCTGGTATCTTTAAAAAGAAAAGGTTCATCAGAGTATCAAGTGCTACTGTTACATACCAGGTAGATTAGCAGACTACATGTTAAATAATTCAGTACAAATTATAGAATAAGTAATCTTACCAGACAAGCTTTGTTAGGTGACCTCCATTCAAAGGTTGTATTTCACCTATTTTTTTTTTTTTTTGTCAATTCTTGGCAACAAAGTCTTCACTGTACTAGTCAGTGAGGAATCCACTGAAAGCTCAGAGGTCACAGTAAATGAGCACCAGGATGGATTTGTTAGCTTGAGACCACATAACAAATATATCATTACAAATGACCCAACACATACCATGTAAGAAGAACTATAAACATTTAATTTATATGTACCAATTTAACTTTCTACTTGGATTCCTAAGGACTTATTGGGATATTTAGCTTTAAGAGCCTAAGGAATCAACTTCTTTCTGTTTCTCTGGATTTCTCTTCCACACTCACAAGTCACTGTTTTGGTCACCACGTTCCTGTCCCACCCTGGCTTGCTTCAATTCCATCAAGTTTTTATTGCACTGACAGGAAATTCTTGGTCTCTGTCCATATGATTGTTATTCAAAGGTAGCGTAAGTCTTTCTCTGCTCTTCATAGAGTGGAATCTTATAGCACATAGCACTTTCTGTTGGGTAACTTCTATCGCAGCTCCTCTTGTTGGTATGGAACTGAAGCCCTGCCCTGGCCTGTAACTCATTTTCCATGTTGTTCTCTATGTCAGTAAGAAGGGATATTACTTATTTCCTCATATAAGATGAAATTACAAGTAAGACCCAAATAAAGTTAGGTGCGAATCTCATGTTGTATAGAAGAATGGATGTTGTAATGCTTCATGTTTAATTATTACTGCACAGGCACATTCATTTGTAGTTTTTCAGTTTTACTCTTTCATTGTGTTTTTCCTAAATATGTGACCTCAAAAAACAATCAACTCTCTTGCAAGAGTTAGCATGGCTTCTTTGAGAGCCGTGAAACAGTACTAAAATCTTTTCCTGTTTAATTGTCTCATGTTGGGCCTAAGATGGAGATGAACCTATAGGAAATTTATTAGCAATGCACTTGGGGTTCCTAATGTGGGGTCACTTTTGGGAAATGAGTTAAGGAGGGAAGCCAACAGGATAGAATAGGCCCTTAGGGTACAGTCATGGCAAAGCCTGGTTTAACTCAGAGGGAGGTTTTAAGCTGGTACACACTACTCACCACAGTTGTTACAAAGGGTTGGCCTTTTACACCTGTGCATTGACAAGTTTTTGCATAACTTCTTTAGCTATGTCAATTCTCCAACCAGCGGCGACTTGTGCAAAAATGTTAGTAGCTGAGAGCTCTGCCAGGATCTAGAGAACAGATCCATCAGGGGTAAAGATCGACCCCAACAGCAGAAGGTGGTATCTGTGATACTAGTGTTTCATAAAAAGGAAACAGTGACATAGATTCAACCATTTTTTTCTCAGTTTGGTCCAGCCATTCCTCTTTCTAATAGCATTAAGCTTGAATCTAACATTTCTCCCAGCATGAATGGTAATCTGATATCTGAAAAGAGTATATTCTGAGCCCTTGTATTTGTTGGCAGATATTTCTTTTCTTTCATTTCTTCACTGTCCTTCCCAGCCTCTTCTCTCAACAGTCAAAGCTATCACATTCTTTGATATTTTATAATAAACAAACTATGCACAGCGATGTTTTGACAACCCTCATTTTTGTGTGTATTTTATAATACCCTCACAGAATATGACATAATTAATGTGAAAGAGTGGAGCTGATGAACAGTAGTTTTTATTATTTTCAAATTTTTCTACCAAGATTCCAAGATTCCAAAAACAAACTTAAATGAAGTCTGCCTTTTTTCTGTCCTGAGTAGGGCAGTCATTCTTTTTGCATATTATCTATCTGAGATGTACAGCAGGATTAGAGTACTAATTCTGAGGCCAAATAATACATACAACTACCAGGTACATAACACACAGAAATCTGTCTTACAATATGGGTTTTACTAGTTTACACAGGTAGAAGAAGAAAGAGATGGGGACAAAGAATTAATTCTAAAGCAAAAGACAATATGCTTTTAAGGGATCAAAGAAGAGATTGATGGTAAAGTCAGAAACTGTGTAAATCTCTGAAGGCATTTGATATAATAATCACCACTAAGCTCTCATTAAGGTTTATTATGTTCAAGGTCATATCCTATGTGCTTTGGATACAAAAATGAGTGAGGATTAGTATCTGCTCTCAACCTCCAATGGTATCTATTCCTAACGCATAAGGAAGGTTTGCTTAAGGGGATGTAGTCTCAGAATGTCCACATGCATGCTTTCTGAGGAAATACTGTTCTTCTTTGACATAACTACTATTATAGGTTAGTTAAATATTTATATGATGAACAAGTATATATTGGGTAAGAAGTCTAATTATAACTGTCATGATATGCTTGTTATAACTGGGAGTATTTGCTACTCTAATTGGAGAAACTGGGGAGAAATTGATGAACTGGTAAGAAAGAAGATGAACTTGACAGCATGTTGAACGTTGTGTTTGTTGAGCTGGGCCAGAAAAATGTGCCCAGGGATAAAGTTTAGGAGATCAATTTTTCTTATTATGGGTTAGAACATTATGAAGGTATAGAATGAAAGATTTCAATGTATATTTGTTATATACAAAGATGCTTTGACTAAGGCATGCTATAAGAAAATGGGGAGTGGGGGAATGATCAAAGTCCCTGCTGTGTATTAGCAATGCTACTGGGAAATGTATTAAACTTTGCTTTTCTTTCATATTTTGAAGCTAATATTTGGCCTACTTCTATAATGAGAATGGACTCTTAAAACTGTGAAGTATGATGGAAATGTCAAATTATACAGTGTGATCTATCAAGGGTGATCAAAATAGGAAATTAGGAATTATCATAGATTTTTGCCTAAAAATCCAGTGATCAGAAGAGTACTAAAAACCTTACAAATTTTAGAAATAACAATTTTAATTTTAAAAAATCTTTTAAAAAATTTATTTGATTATTACAGGGTCTTGTTACACCCCCAGACTCATACTGATCTTCTTGGCTCAGCCTCCTCTGCACTGGGATTACAGGTGTGTTCCACAACACCTGGTTTTGGTGGCTGGTCAGGCATTGCATGTGGTATAGGGGATTGAACCTGGGTCCTTGCACTTGCCAGACAGGCCCTTGGACTGCTGAGTTGTCTCCCCAGCCAAATGAGAATTTTAAATGACCATGAGAATATTATGCATCATATGGGGAAAAATATCTCTTTCACAGCAAAATCTTGTGTATCTGCACCTGAATGAAGAAATTTACACAAGTACCTGGCCATGTAAAGAGTCAAATGTAAGTGGTGTATGTACACAAAGAGAAGAAATACTGATACTATTTAATCCTGTTGTTATTGAGTAGTATCAGTAAATTGACAGTATAATCTGTGATTTGAAATCTATAAAAATAACTATGTCGATGTTCCAACACTATAGGGAACACTGGATTTTGGGAGCAGCTATCTTTCAAAACTTGAATGTTGTGCTGAGATAAAAAGATGAAAATTCTATTTTACCCAAAAAGTTATTATTATTATTATTATTATTATTATTATTATTATTATTATTTATGTATTTAGTATAGAGTCTACAGCATCTCACTATGTAGACTGAACTTGTAGTGATTCTCCTGTTTTCAGCCTCCCAAGCACTGGGATTACAGGCATGCGCCACCACACCCATTCTCAATCACTGTCTCAGGGTGCTCTGGGAGTGCCCGGCATGACATACCTGGGATCGAACTCCAGTCCCTGTGACTGCCTAAGCAGGCACTTTAATCCACTGTGCTATCTGGCTGACCCTCCAAGGGGCTATTATTCTCAGAGAGTGTATTTACTATCTATGGAGCAAGAGATGCCAAGAGGCTTCACTGAGCATCTTTTCTTATGCTTCTTAGAGTGGGGTTAGAATGACAGAGGCAGATTGTGCCGATTTTATCTGCTTAGATGAAGGATGTGACATTTTGGGGGCTTTGCCTAGATGTCTTGGCAGTGACCTGCTTTTTCCTAAAGGAGGTTTAAGGAAAGGGTGGAAAGGATGAGGATGCCTGCCCATAGCACTTGGCTGTCAGTCCTGTCACCCTCTATGCCCAAGAGATTGCAGGGCTACTGGGATTCTTTGAAACAAAGGCCACTAATCTGCACTTAGTTTAAGCTACATCTAGAGTTCTGAAAGTCTTTATTTTATTTTTTTCCTTTTCTGTACTAGGAATTA